CAGCTGTCTGTAAAGGGGTTCACAGTTTTACAAAAGACTTTCACATTTCCTCTTCCGATCCTCACAACAGATCAATAATGTGGGAGTTAAGAAACTCAGTTGACAGATGAGGAGCTGAGGCTCAGGAACGTCAAGTCCTGCTCCCAAACAAGCTCTGAGAACTAGAAATTTTGTTAAGTCTTCTGGCCTGAGTGTCCACTACACCTCAGTCGCCTCTTTTTCCGGTTGTCAAAGCTCTCCCTGAGGCCAAACCCTGAGTGCCTCTGGAGGGATGCCCACCAACACCTGGTCTATATTAGATGCTTGGTTATCTGCAGGCGCCAAGCCCAGGGTTCCCTTTCATGATCAATTGTGCTGATGCCACCTTTGTTCTCATGCTCCAGAGCGAGGTCAGTGCAAGTTCTGTTAGGTCAGTAGTTAAGTGATGCTCTCTCTTCTATCAGTGGTTTTAATGATTTGGCTATTTTTGTAGTTATATTTAGGAAGTCCCAACATGTCTCAAGGAAACCATTTGAAGGGCCACGGGAAGGATTAATTGAATGCAGCTTCTTATCTTTCCATTAGGGGAATCCATAAAGCTGAAAAGAAGGATTCTGAGATAAGAAGATCCTTTGCTTGGGATTGTATAAAAGGGACCCCCCTCCCCCATTGCCTGTTTCTTTGCTAATGCAAAGGAGGGACTTGAAAGGATTACGTAGCCTCCAGTAAGCCTGAGCTGGCGCACATACAGAACTGGCAGATTACTATCTTTGCCATCACATAAAAATGCTCCAGATGTTTTGTTTTTGTTTTTAATCTTCCACTGCTCTTTGCAAAGAACAAACTTTTAAGTATAGTCCTGATGGTGGCGGATGAACATCCCATTTCTTTTTCCTTCTCCAAGACAAAATAATTGTGCATCATACGGGGCAGCCCATGGTCATTTTTAATATTTAAATGGCATCTGAGTTGGAGATTAAAATGTATAAAGAACAGTGTGATCCCAGGGAAGAGGATAGGAGGGCATTTCTACTTTCAAATGTAATAAAACAGATGGGCCTCCCATTCCAGACTTAAGTGCTAAAATATTTCAGATACCTTGTAATGCTGGAAACCTACAGAAGGAAATTTCTCAGTCCCTCTGTCCCTCTCTCTCTTGCACACACACACTTATTTTGCATTGCACGCGTATAGATCATGAAGCTAATTCCAGAGGGCAAGATTAACTTTTGTTTCTAAAAGCCTAGGCTGTAACCGTAGGACCCAGCATGTTGACTAAGCAATTACATAATGACAGGGAAACACAGTACAATCTTAAGCGGAGGACAGTAACGCTAACTACCATGCTCATCATTATCTTGAACTATCCTCACTTTGAAGAGATGATCTAATTATTCCTTTGCACATCCCTCATGGGAAAGGTGTTATTATTTCCATCTTGAAGACAAATGTAATATCTACTCTCGATTTATAAGTGTCATTTCTTCTGAGAAGCTTCACTCTTTGCTTTCTTGCTCATCTTCACACTGTGAGTCTTAGACATGCCAAATTAAGCAATTTCGTAGAATTAGAGGCAGAATGATCTGTTTCCATAAGTGATTAAAATTCAGTGTTTTCTTGGGCGCCTGGGTGGCTCAGATGGTTAAGCGACTGCCTTCGGCTCATGTCATGATCCTGGAGTCCCAGGATCGAGTCCCACGTCGAGTCGGGCTCCCTGCTCCTTGGGAGCCTGCTTCTCCCTCTGCCTCTCTCTCTCTGTCTCTCATGAATAAATAAATAAAAAGTTTTAAATAAATAAATAAATAAATAAAATAAAATAAAATTCAGTGTTTTCCAAATTGTTTCAATCATATACCCTATGAAGTTACAAAATGTCCAAACATATAGAATATAGGAACTTACAAGGATCATGTTCAAAATAAATATAACCATAAAGTCTAGTGCTTTCCCCAAGCTTCTGTAGGGTATGAGCAACTCTCTCCTCTTTGGGATGGGGAGTCGGGGCGGGGGGAAGTGAGAGGAAGGATTAACATGATTCTCTTCTCCCTCTTTCTCTCCAATAAGCCCTGACAACTGCAGCTCTCACAGTAAGTTCTTCCTGGAGCTAAAGCATAGGGCAAAAGGGAAATGGGAAGAAAAGTAAAAGGAGGAGCAAAGAAGCAATGGATGAGCAAACAAGAAAGGAACGGGTGATAGAAACACTGAGTAGTTGGCCTTCAATATCAGTGTCACGCCACAGGAGGCTTCCGAAGGGACTGTGTTAGGTTCCTAGGGCTGCCATAACAAAAGACCACAGCCTGGGTAGCTTAAACAGTCAAAATTTAGTTTCTCACGGGTCCAGAAGATAAATGTCCCAAGACCAACATGTGGGCGGGTTTGGTTTCTCCGGAAGACTCTCTCCTTGATTTGGGAGAAGGGCTGCCTTCTTGCTGTGCTTCACACGGTCTTTCCTTTACATGCATGCACCCCTGCTGTCAATATGTCCCAGTACCCTCCTCTCACAAGGATACCAGCCTGATTAGATTGGGGTTCCACCCTAACAGCCTCATTTTAACTTACTCATCTCTTTAAGGCCCTATTTCCAAATACAGTCACATTCTGAGCTTAGGGCTTCACCAGGTGAATCTGGGGGAGATAATTGAGCCCATAATGTGTGCTTTGGTTTAAAATCGTCTTCTGCTTTCAGGCAAGATATTAGAAATATGTAATAGCCATATAGCATGACACTATAGGAAACAGTTATCAAAAGGGAAACTGAGGCACATTAAAACTTTTAAGAGTTTATTTGAGCAAACATGTATTCAAATCAGGCAGAGCCACGTCAAAGTGGTTTAGGGACCGGAGCGAGGGGAAAGGCTTTTTGTGGAGCAGAGGCAGAAGCAAAGCAAGGAAATTATTTGATTGGCTGTAGCTTAAGTGGGTGCCTTATTTGGTAAAGCCTAGGTGACTGCTTGTGATTGGTTGCTCTAAAATTGTGTTTTCTCGGATACAAGTGTATTGAATGAAACTGATGTGGTTTAGGCTGTGATTTGCCTTCATAGATCACCAAGGCATTAGGGCCATCTCAGTCTGAGGGCCTCCATCAGTTACTTTAACATGGTCAACAATGCTTTCTTACTCCAGTGAGTCACATACTTTTCTACCAGCTGGCCTGACTTGAGTTCCCTACCTACCTAGTCTCCAAAGGTCATTCTATTCATCTGCTAGGGGCTTCCTCCCAAGACTTCGCTGGAGACAGTACAAAGCATGAAAGGGGAGCTGTTTTCTCCACAGACCCACAAAGTTTGCATAATAATTCTGACCATGTGCTCACGGCAGAGCAAGCCATAGCCTCGTCTCTCTTCCTGTGACATGACAGGTGACAAATGGAGATATTCCTCTTTTCGTGTTTTGCGAGAGGCACTTTTCCGTCAAAGCTCCTCTGCCTTAAGGGTTTTCCCAGTAATGATCTGCACCAGATGGCCTCACCACTGAGTGCCTCACAGAGAACACACATATTTGCTCCTCGCTGGTAATCTCAGGTCACATGGTCAGCTGGAAAGTCTGACAGCCTCACCTGCCAACGGCATTACTTGGACAATGGAAAGTAGATCCCTGGTGACAAGGTTTGGGGGTGGGGGAGTGAACAAAGTCCTCAAGGAGTTCTTTCCAAAATGGCACAAAACACATGAAATTTCTTTGCCACCACTTCGAGAAGAGTTGACATTCAGTACCCCAATGTTAAAATATGTGAGTGGGGATTATATCCCATTATAAGTGAAGTCTCTGTTTTAGGATACTATTATTGATTTCCTGGTTCCTTTCAGTAGTAAGCTTGGTGCATTTCTTTATGCACTGATTATATGATGTAATTGGCAGAATTGGGTTATGTGTGTATATATTATATAATTAAGCAGTTATATAAAGTCAGTGGAAATTCGTGCATGCATTCATTCACTTAATAAGCCCTTAGCCAGCTTATTCCATGTGTTGGAGATTGGACCAAACACTAGGGACACAAAAATGAACAAACTCCTGACCTCGCTGAGCTCACGGTCAACTGGAGAAGAAAATGAAAGGGCAGTCTAGAGAGAGGTTGGTTCTCAAGTTGCGTATGCATCAGAATCACCCCCAGGCCTCTAGTTTCTGATTCAGTGGGGCCAGGAATTTGCTTTTCCAACAAGTTCCCTGGTGAGGCTGATACCACTGGTCCACGGACCACAGTTGGAGAACCACTGATTCAGCGTCACAAGTGTCAGAAGGCTATGGAAGCTCTGAGGAGGAGTTTCCAGCCCTGGCTGGAGGGCAAGGGGGCCATCAGAGGTTTCACGAAGGAAGTGAGTTTTAAAGGATGAGTGGGGAAGGGGAGGGAGGGAGGGATTAGGACACGCCAAACACATTTAGTTCTAATGGATAAAAGTAGGAGAAAGTACTTATGGTTTGAAAAAAAAAAATGCAGATAATTCTGTTGCCTAGGATGAAGTTTGAGTTTGAAGTAATTGCAAGAGATAAAGCTGGAGAGCTCTGTAGGGCCCAGAGCTGTGCTTGAGGGCCCTGTCTGAACACTGTCCTATGGGTGATTATTTAATGGTGAATCCCCAGAGCCAGGCTCCAGGCTGGAAGAACCTTGGTGAGGAAAACTCTGTCATTGTTATCTTTTGTCAAAAGAGGCTTCTTTCTGAGCCGGACACAGGGCTTCCCAGTCTTTTGGAAGATATCCTTTTCATTTCCCTGAAATGACAACTCGCCCTGGAGGTGATAGGACCATAGAAAGGGTGTGTTGACTGCACATAACCAAAACTGGGTGGGGGCTTAAGTTTTTGCCATTGACCCATCAACCACAGTGAGGGGGTATGTCAGTAGCTTAATAATTAATTGGTTAATTATGATTGACTCTTAGAAAACCCTAAGCTTCAATCATCTCTAATGACCTCCTGCTTACTCAGAGGGGAGGGATGACAAGGCCGAGGATGGAGGGAGACAGAGAAGGAGACCCCGCTGAGCCCGGGTTGTGATGACATGTGCCTCGTTCCTCCCTCCAGGGGAAGATGATGACGACGATGAATGTGGAGAGGAGAAGCTGCCCTCCTGTTTCGATTATGTGATGCATTTTCTGACCGTGTTCTGGAAGGTTCTCTTCGCCTTCGTCCCCCCTACAGAATACTGGAACGGCTGGGCCTGTTTCATTGTCTCCATCCTCATGATCGGCATACTGACAGCTTTCATCGGAGACCTGGCTTCCCACTTCGGATGCACCATTGGCCTGAAAGATTCTGTGACCGCAGTAGTGTTCGTCGCCCTTGGCACCTCGGTACCAGGTAGAGAATACATTTGTATATGATTTCCCCCAGCCGTGGCAGCCCATTCACCTTCTTGACCTTTTCTTTCTCACAGTTTCAAGGACTGTGATAACAAACAGGCCCATGAAAGGCAAGAGCCCAGAGATATAAATAATGTCACTGCCGGAAGACTGTCATGGCATTTTTCAAGGTTAGAAGGCTGGTCAGTATCATCTTGATGACAGAAAAGCATTCCTAGAGGGACTGCCTGGTGAGAACAGACTGGTTTGATGGCTAGATCGACAGATCAGCTTCCCATTACAGTTAGCACTTTCTAAAACACAAAACAAAATTACAGAATCCTCTTCAAGCACAAAATCTGTCTTTTTTATATTTACTAACATTTGGATAATTTCCATGAAACTCTATTGGTTGAGTAACTGAGATAAATACCTACTGAAGACCTGATACAATAGTCTCTTGACCCAAAAGTTAATGTGAGTAAATTAAAAAAAAAAAAAAAGTAGACATTGATCAGGGCAAAAGTAATCCCAGCCAAAGCAAGCAGGCCAAGGACACATTTCGTGGATGTCCCTTCATGCATTCCTTATAAGATAAATTTTTCTTCCAATCTACAACTGTAGCTCATTATATTTACCCAGACTTCTAAGAAATCATCCTCCCAGACATGACCTTGACAGCAGTAATTTTCAAGCTTGGGTGAGCATCAAAATTACCTGGGAGCTTGTTTAAAAAATACAAATGCCGGCAACCCACGAATCAGAAGATCTAGAGGAAGGACCCAGACATGCATGTTTTAAGCTCACAGGTGATTCAGGTGCACATTGGAGCCTACTGTACCCAAAGTTCTGGATGCAGGCCCAGTGCTAATTGACATCTTGACAGATATACAGCTAACCCTGGCTTTTGGTTTGGACTCTGAAAACAAGTGCAGTTTAAATCATGCATATATCTCTTCAATGGAACTCACTAGTTGTTCTTCTCCATTCAGGTATTTGTCACTTCATTGTCTCTGAGTCTTTCTTTATTTGGAAAATAGGAATAATCATACTGAACTTGCAGAATCATGGCAAGGACTGGAGAAAACACCTATAAATTATGCATCTAGTAAAGCATTTGAAACATAGAAGGAATTTGATTAAAACAACAGCTTTTGTTATTATTTATGAATAGCTGCAGATGATCTGACCAGCATAGATTTGGATACTTCATCCTTGAATAACCAGAAATAAAGTGTCCAGATTCATAGTGGTGAGCCATTGCCCATGGTGCTATCCAAATGATCGACCATGTGGGAGTCCTGGTCAAGACGCCTGACGGGGTTCTGGTGTAAGTGAGTTAATGGAGGACTCAGGGGATTTAGGGGGTGCTTGTCTGACTGTCTTAGTGATTAGAACTATGTAAAGTCTTCCAGTTGACTGCTGATCCTCAGAGGAGATCAGACTGCCTCTCAACACCAGCTGTTTCTAGCAGTTCCAATTTTGGTCTTTATTTTGATTTTTTTTTCTGAAAATAACCAGAAATTTAGCAAGCAGGAGGAAAACCTTAAAATATTCATATTGTGAGTTATTTTGTTTAGAGAACATATATACCCAAAGAAACTAAACATAACAGTTCCTCTATCTCAGGTTACTATACCCATCACTCTCAGGTTACTGTAGGAATATGTTTTGGAGTCTACTCTCCCTAAGGCTTAAATCACTGTATCAAATGGTGCCCAAGTTAGCACACACTTCTGGCCCCGGGTTTAACCCTTAAGGAGAATATGTGCAAATTATGATAATGAGAGCAAAATTAGGTCTCTCATTAGAGGTACTCAAAATCAACCTACTTCTCTGGAAAGTCAGCAGTTGGTCCTACCAAATGCCTCTCTTGTTTTCCAAATGATCAAAAAAATGCTTTTACTACATCAAATCCTTGTTTCTAAAAATATATGTTTTTTAAATTTCCCTGCTCCTCATCTCAATACCTCAAAACTGGCTCTTTTTCCTGTATACTAGTCTTCCAAAGTAGCTTTGTGCATCTCTTGTATTAAACTCTCTTGAAAAGTGTGGCAGCCATACCATATCATTAACTTTTTTTTTTCTGTAACATGAAATGTAGATTACACTAAACCCTAGTGTACAAACCTCATTTGTTCTGCCACTTAAAACTGGCTCAGAACCCAGGTAGGGGCATCAAGAGGTAAGAAAGCCTGTTGGGGAGAATACAACAGAATCATTAGCTGTCAAAAGGGTTTCCCTTCACCGCCATAAATTCTTCCCATCGGGAAACAGATTTCTATGCTGTTATCAGGAGAATTCCTGTAATTTCCTGTAATATGAGCTGTGCAGCATGTTCCCCACACAATATAGTCAGAGGTAATATCATAATCATATTTATATAAACATACATCCCCCCAAAAAAGCTGTGCAAATTGAACAAGATGCTGAACAAACATATTTCTGACTTTATTCTTGAACCCTGATGATTCAAAGCAGTGCTTTTTTTTATCTCCCGACTCCTAAAAAAAAAAAAAAAAAATTCTATTATTCCCAGATGACAAAGCCCAGTTGCTACAGGTGGAAGAATAAAAGAGACTAATTCTTTTCACTCAAAGCTTACTACTAATCATTGGTCCTGAGGCCCAGCTTTTTCTCTAGGCTGATGTCTTGACCCTTTTCCTAAAGTAGAAGGTCTCCAAGCTAGCGTTTGATGTATTGCTGCCTCTTGGTAGGTGAGACCTTTGGATTCTCAGCTTCCGATGGCCTGCCCTAAGGCAGGATTAAATATTTAAATAGCTCATTTAAAGTATTTTTTTATCATATTCAAAATCTATGGGGAAAAGAGCTTATGCCTTTCCAGGTGAGACAGAGCTTCTTCCTCCTACCACTGGTAATCAAGTGCTCATAATAATCTGTTGGCAGAGGAGGACTCCTGAGGGTCTTCATGGGGAATGAGGGGGCTCAACCTTAAAGACTCACACTTGTTAAAAGAGTAAGAGCCTTCTTTTCCTGAATCACCCTCTGCAGAGCTCCTTGTCTGGAGAAGAGGGGCTTCCTGAATAGTTTCCTTCCACTTTTAAATGTTGAAGTAAGTAGAGCCTGGTCTCCAACTCTCTCCTCTTCCCCATCTGGGCTCATTCCCTGGCCCATCACACCAGTCCCATGACTTAAATGCCACCAACATGCCAATGATTACCAAATGTTTATCCCAAGCCTCAACTTTCCCGAGTTCTAGATTCACACGCCAACTTTCTTCCCTGTATTGATGCTGGATGTGTAACGTGGGGCTCCGAATCACCGTGTCCAGAGTAGAACTGCTTATTTCCACTGCCCACGGCCTTATCCTCAACGAAACCTATTCCTTCCAGATCTTGCCTTGTTTTCTGGAAAACAATATCATCATCTAGCCAGCGTCCTTGATTCCTTTTTTCTCATCCCCACAGTCAAGCCATTCATAACTCCCGCAGATCTTACCCTTACAGTGCATCTCTCTCTACCATCAGGTCCGGGTAGGCCGTTCACTCGGACCCCTGCAGGGGCCTCCTGTCTCTCTTCATGCTTCTGCTAAGGATTGTTTTAAGGTGTAAATCAGACCACATTTCTGCCTACAGTCTTCCAAGGGCTCCCTACTTAGGATAAACTTCAGAAGTATCCCCCAGGCTTACAAAGACCTATGTGATTTGGCCCCTGTCTGTCTTTCCATTCTGTGTTCCCCCTTGCCCACTGTTCTTCAGCCCCAGGGGCCTGTTTACTGTCCTCCATGCCCCAGGTTCACTCCTTTCTCAAGGTTGCACTAGCTGTCTAAAATGCTCTTTCCCTTCATTTACACAAGACTGGCTCTTTGTCTTCAAGTATATCTCATCTTAAATGTCACTTCATCAAAGAGATCTTTCCTAACCACCAATGTGAAGTATATCACCCTATTTTCTGTAGAGTCTTTATTACTTTCTGGACAATTTAGTTTTTGAATGTTATTGTCTCCCTCTCCCCACTGAAACGTAAGCTTCATGGGAGCAGAAACTCTGCCCTTCCAATCTCTCATATCTTTGGCTCCTAAAATGATGCCTAGCTAATACATAAGTAATGCAGTTGTATATGCCCATGTGTTTGCGTGTGTGTGTGTGTGTATGTGCTGTGTCTATAAATGAATGTACAAATCAGTTATTAACACATTAGTATGAGTTACTTAAATCAGACGGCTTTCTTAACACCTTCTAGAGACAGCGAAGAATTGAAGTTATGATTGAGGGAGATGAAGAGTAGATGTTTTTTAATATTTTATTTACTTATTTATTTGAGAGAGAGAATGAGATAGAGCATGAGAGGGGGGAGGGTCAGAGGGAGAAGCAGACTCCCTGCTCAGCAAGGAGCCCGATGCGGGACTTGATCCCGGGACCCCAGGATCATGACCTGAGCCGAAGGCAGTCGCTTAACCAACTGAGCCACCCAGGCACCCGAACAGTAGATGCTTTTGTAGTGTGGCTTATTCTTGAGGAATATATGTGGGTAGGCAAGCATAACTTAAGAGCACTGAGTCTCCTCTTTCACAATTTGGCTATGGTGGAAAGTGTGATGAGGAGCAAGATATGTTGTCTCTTCTTCATTCTTTTCTCTGCTATCATCCCTGCTTTTGAGATCCAGAACTCAGGCCAATACTTTTAAAACTTTAGATATAGGGGCGCCTGCGTGGCTCAGTTGGTTAAGCGACTGCCTTCGGCTCAGGTCATGATCCTGGAGTCCCAGGATCGAGTCCCACATCGGGCTCCCTGCTCGGCGGGGAGTCTGCTTCTCCCTCTGACCCTCTTCCCTCTCGTGCTTTCTATCTCTCATTCTCTCTCTCTCTCAAATAAATAAATAAAATCTTAAAAAAAAAAAAAACTTTAGATATACTCTGTGGAGTGCTAAATAGGCATTTTGCAGTAGTCTGACTTGGGTCCATAACTATGTTATATCAGATTGTTTCTAAAGAAAACAGGCTCAAAATTCAAGAGAAATTAATGCAAGAAGTTTAAAACTCAGCCATTTTTGTACTAG